CATGAATGGTGGTTATGTATGATTGTTCATGCTTATGTCAGAGTACATATTTTATGGGTGAATGCGCTTGTTTAAATTTATTTACAGGCAAAAGTTTCTGGTGAATTTACTCAGTAAAGACTGAGTTGTGTCATATACCCACCATATTCAAGCCTTTAATTATTGATCATATATTATTTTGAGGATAACTCTTTAGCAAGCCCAATTTTTACTTGGAGGACAAGAACCTTACAATAACTTTTTGTTCTGTTTTTTTTCCCCCAAACTATGTGCAGAATTTTGAGCTCCTTATTGCTTTATCAGCAGCGTAAAATTTGACTTGTGTGTTCAAGTAAGAAGGTTCAGACCTCCCTTTACATGCCGTGTATCCTCATCTGTTATTTGTTGTGAAGAATGCGTGGGAAGAAACCTTCTCCTGCCATCAGACTGGTCCAGGGCAGTGTAAGAACAGTATCTGAAAGTGTTAAAGATGTGCACGCAGCGATGACAGAGTCCAAAGAAAGACACAAGTGAAGTGAGGGAATTAGATGGAAAGAGAAGGTCCCATAAAAATGACTTGCACACTCCCTTCCCTCAAGTTGCTATTCTGAACCCTTTTGTCCAGCATCTTCTTCAGGTGCCTTCCATCTCCCCTCCTTGTCAAATCTTTGACTCCCCATCCCCCAACTTTGTGCCCCTCAGGCCATGGAAGGAGGGGATGAAGGGGCGCTCCCCTGCTGTGTCCCTCCACAGCTCCAGTGGCCCTTCTCTGGACCCTTTTGTGCCCCATTTCCCTCCCACTCCTCATTCCCCTACTCAGCCCCCTGCCTCTACAGCCCCCCATCCTACCCTTCAGTCCCCCCCCCCCCTTCTCTCTGGACTCCCCTGCTGGGCAGGTGACAGGCCCCTGAATGCGACCCCGGGCGTCCCTGATGGCTCCTACAGATGGAGCGTGGTAATCGGTCCAATAGAGCCCTGCCACAGGCTTTTCCCTGCAAAGATACAAAAGCTTGGCCACATCACTTCTAGAAAAAAAGAAAATGTGTGAGAGGAAGACAGAAAAAGACAAAGAACGAGCTACAGGATGACAAAAGCAACACTGTCAATTGTCAGTAAGTGATAGTTTGTGATGAAAGTTTTCTTTCGAGTTACTTATCACAAAAAAAAAAAAAACATGAACAAAAACAGAGGTCCTCTTCTAGACTGGTGTTGATAGTTTGCTCCCTCAGTTTTATTTTGTTGTCTCTATTTTATGTTATTTGCTCTTTTTTATTCACGTTTTCTGTCCTTCAATGAAAAATGAAAGTTGACATCAGTAATTTAAACAGTATTTTTACATTTAAAGACCAAATATTAATTTGTGGTGTTTTTTTTTTTTTGCACCTGTTGATCTAGAACATTTGCTCCAATTCGACTCAGATTCTTACATGAACAAACCACATCCGAAGCTCACACAGACCGTCCCAGAGAGTCTATGGCAGCGTGGCGCTGCTGTTTCAAATGTAATAAAGAGCTTGTCTTAGCATGAGAATCTTGTTTGCCAGCAGCCCTTTGAGCTGCAGCGTTCCCAGAGGCCAAATCCGTGTGTAATGCCTGGTCAGACACACACTGGCAACCAGTAAAACATTTCCTGCTTCCAGAGACTCCAGAGGCAAGGGGAGATTCCCAAACCCTTCTCACCTCTCAGAATCTGACTTGGCACTTTTTCAAATTAAAGCTTTAAATCTGGAGGGCAGAGAGAAAGAGAGAGCAGTCAGACAAAGAGACAAGCTTCATATTGACACTCTTTTCTTCCTTACACCTGCTCTGCCGCCTCTTTCTTCTCTCCGAGCATGTTTACTACATCATTTTAGTGTTGAAAAAGGCTGTGTGAACTTTTAGGTGTCCTTTACAATCTGTTTTGAGTCTGCTTGTCTTTGACACGTTGCCATCTTTGCTGAGTGGAAGTTTATAGGGCAGACATGGCAGCTGCATGCTTGCAAATGTGCACATGGTGGAAACGGGAGGCTGTCATGTCTGGAGCTTAATTATTCTTTAATAGATAGCAAACAGAATGCAGAAATGGTCCTGTCTCTCTAGTTTTAAGCTGTCATCGAGTTTACTCTTCTGTTGAATTAGAGCTCTTTACCCGTTCCCAGTCATCAGCATTCTGAACAAACAGAGAAGCACCTGCAAAGAGCTGCATTTCTTGCTCTACAGGATGCTATCAGTGTAGCGCTCAGCATGGGTAAGATCAGGAGAGACACAGCGGTCCAGGCAATAAGTGCCCCAGAGGGGTATAGTCCTCTTTAATCTGTGTTCAAGCAGCCTCTGGCTTTTGATCCCCTTAGGAACCACTAAAAGGAGCAGGGGGACACAATCCAAAGTGGCACCACACCATCTGCATAAGCTCTTGTTTTCAATCTGGCTATCGTTTTAAAAAACTCACCGCAGAGTTTCATCCTCTGTCGGCTTGATCCTAAGTAAGAGTGTGTTTATTTTGCAATCCCAGCCAGTCACTCGGAAGAAGGCTCCGACGTGGACTCTGAGCCGGGCCTGCCTTTAAAGAGGAAGCAGCGTCGCAGTCGGACCACGTTCACAGCGGAGCAACTGGAGGAGCTGGAGAGGGCCTTCGAGCGAACACACTACCCCGACATCTATACACGAGAGGAGCTGGCGCAGAGGGCCAAACTGACCGAGGCTCGAGTTCAGGTTCGACACACATCTGCATTCACAAAGTTTCAGAGACGTGACAGCACAGCAATGTGTCACGCTGTCATGAATTTGTGTCATGCAAGTGTTGAATTATCTTGGGCTATTGCCACACATTCTTTACAGCCGTTAGACATGTGTCTCCCCGCCCCCACAAACCATAGTCCCTACTCCTTTGATGCACATTCAGACAAAATCTAATATTGCAGTCCTTTTGTGGGAAGTGAACTTTCTATTTTTGCAAAGATTTTTCTCTAGAAAGTGCCATGTAAAAATCTGCAAATAGATGCTTAATCTAGATAGCTGCCTAACAGCCATAACAGCCCTGCGGTGTTATCTGAGCCCTGTGACTCACAGTAGTGCACAAAGCTGTGGTTTCTGTGCAGATGTTGAGATCTCTATCAGTTTAGCAGAGGCCTTCAACACATATAATGTCACTGACCTGGAACAAAGCACTCACAAATGAAACAGAGCATGTAATTACGTGAGTTAAGTTGGACTCAGGAAACTCCGATCGTGCTTAACTCTGCTCTTCTTCCAGGTGTGGTTCAGCAATAGAAGAGCTCGGTGGAGGAAGCAGGCAGGAGCCAATCAGCTGATGGCCTTCAATCACCTCATACCCGGTGGTTTTCCTCCATCAGCTATGCCAGGCCTGCAACCTTATCAGCTGTCAGACAGCCCCTACCCTCCATCTTCCATCGCCCAAGGTGAAAACACAGCTGAAAACTAAACGTGTATTGACTCCAGTGTCTAAAAAGTTGAATCTGAAATCTCATGTTTATATAAGCAACACTGGAACTTATGAAGAACTTTCTTCTCAGCCACTTCTGAGCAGCATGGCACCGTCCATCGACCGCAGCCGTTGCCACCAACCTCTGTGCACCAGGCTGGGATCGGCTCATCCGCAAATTCCCAAGACGGAGGCTCAGCCTATTGCCTTTCCTCTGGGCGACACAACTTCTCAGGATATTCCGACAGCTTTGTGACTCCAGCAGGACACACCAGCACTGTTAACCCCAGCATCAGCAACAGCCTCTCACCACAGGTCAGTCTGTCAATCGAATACCGAGGTACACATGAAAAAAGTCACGTTGAAACGTTCACATGCATACTTCCCAAATGTCCACACACTAGTCTACATTCGTTAGAAAACAAACTTCTTTGTGAAATGCACCATATGGACAAATAATAACACATTTCTCTGTGTGACCTGCAGTAGAGCTGAGATCGTCTTGACATTGATGAAACCTTGTTAGGATAAAGAACTAGGTAGCTTTTCATTTTTGTTTACTCTGACAGACAGTTTGATGAATTTTAAATGTGGCGATTGTCAGCCACCAGATTGGCCGACAGGACCAGACACGAGGAAGGATGTACGGATGTCAGATGATGACACAAATCAAAACTGAAAAGACAATTATGGTCGATTACACAGTCATCAGTGTCCATCGGTGGCTCCCTATCGGCCCAGAAGATGGACTAACAGGCGTAAAACGAGCTTTTAACCACCACAAAGGGTGGCCGGCCTTTTTGCAATGCATGCTGGGTACTAATTCCCATGAGAGAGAATCTCAGACTCCTGGTAGGCAAAGATAAAAACAACAACTGTGTTGAGCAGGTTTGTTTGTTGCTGTTTTAATGCCTAATTTACCGAGAGACTAAGAGAAGAGCTTTGTCGGCCGGGGTGCACATTTTGAAATTTGCTGGCGGCATCATTGAGAGTAAAGATATAATTGGCTGCTTTGATGCATTAGCCAAAGTTGTGGGCTGAAGCACCAATGTTGGGCAGTCAAAACATCACTATTTGTTATGGACCCAAACATTATAAGAAAAAAATAAATGACATGTGGAAAATGTAGGCAACTGCTAACTTTTAACTAGATAATTACTTTGTTGAAGCGTTGCTAGTATGCAAGCTGGAATCTGCCGCCTGTAACCGTTTGTGGTACGAGTTCATTCATTCCATAGGGTCACAAAGGTACTACAACTCTTATAAAGAGGCCAAAGGTGGTCTTGCCCCTCGGATGGTTTCAACATTAACCTTTGTGGTCAGCTTGTACGGAATGGAAATCTCATCTCACAGATCGGACGGTGCTCCTTGAAGGTTCTCTCCGTCTGGGAATGCAATCATTGAGTGTTCCAGTGTCTTAATTGATTGAAATGAAGTAATCTATCCCCTCCTAACAAAGTGTGTAATATATGCAAATGAATCACTTTGTTGGCTAATTTGTTTTAATTCATGTGTTCATTGCAGCTATGTGAATGTTTATTGCAGTGCAGTTTTCTCTATTTCGTAAGAAGATGCAATTAATTTTTACTTAATAAGGAAGGGGAAATGAGAAGTGATTAAATTCTATGACATTGATACTTGAGGATTTCTTTACACTTGGAAAAGTTACAGCTCCAGTTATGTCTGACTGCTGTGGTGGATTTTCTTTAAAACCCTTGCAAGAGTGATGCCCCTTGGGCTATCTGGACTCCAAATTTGTCTATAAATGCTACTCTACTTACTTCTCTGTATACATCAGAGAACTCCACTAACTCCCGATATGGTCACATCGCAGCAACACCAAGTCTTGTTGTGGATAAGTTTTGCTTTAGATCAGCGATATTCTCATTGGAGTGGTGATCTCTGCAGCAGCCAGGCTGATGGCTTCCTCCATCTCTGGCCTCTCAGCGCTGATCTGGCGCATACCAAAGCAATCCTTTCTCACCAAGGAAGCAGGCGGCCAGGATTTGCACCCCCCTGGGACTTAATCTCCGGAACAACCTCAAAACAGACACTCTGCCGAGAACTGCTGCTGTTTCAGTTGCTGAGAGAGATTCACAAGCATATAGATCTTACACTCATACTTTGCAAAGTTGAACGTATATGTCACACAAACCACTGTTTGCACAGAAGTGCATGCAAACTTAAGTACTGCACAGTGTGTTCCAACGCATGAGAAAACTTCAATAGAAACAAAAGATACTTTAGCATACTCTTGGTTCCAGATTATTCTTTCTTATAAAAATACCATCCACCCATCATCTTTACCCACTTATTCCTTTTTGTATCGCTCAGGTCACTGGTGCCCATATCCAGCTATCCTGGACAGGTTGCATGTCCATCACAGAGATGCATAGAAATAAACCACCGTTCACATTCTCACTCACACCTAGGGACAATTTAGAGTTACCAATCAGCCTAACATGCATGTTTTTGGTCTGTGGGAGTAAACCGGTGTACCCGGAGAAAACCCACGCATGCACGGAGAGAACATGCAAACTCCACCCAGAAAGGTCCTCGCTGAGAGGCGGCAGCTCTCTTATAAATTTAGATTATATTTTTAAATTATTTGTTTTAAAAACTACTGTGTTTTGGAGCATTTTATCAAACCTGTAATATTAAAAAACAGATATATTTAATATATTTTGTCAAAATGTCGACGTTGCTGTCTCCATCTCAATGCGTTCTTGCGCCAACTCAAGTTGCCATCATCAAAACAGATTGATTTCTGGTGTGAAACAAATGTTTGCCTGACACATGAACACACCACTCAGATAAATTTAATTAAGGTACACACATTGATGACAACTGAGTTTGCCTTAGCTTGTTTGCATGTAGTCCTTGGTGTCAAATCACTTAGTTTGAATGAATCCTCACCTTCTTTTTAGTTAGAGGCTATTTGGGTTTGTTCTTGGCTTTAGCTCATTTTTCACCAACACAGGCTATAATTCTTTTTCTCTCTTTAAATGTGATTTTTATGACATTTTCACGACTTTGCTTGTCACACAAACCCTTGTGCAGCTGTTCATGATGTATCACCGATACCCCCATGGCCTTGACATAATACTTGATACACATACATCCATCTATTGCTAGAGGCACCAGTCCAATTCAGGTAGCTCCTATACAGCATACACACAGTACTCCTTGTCTCTACATTACCTGTTAGCCTCTTTAATGAAGATGCTGTAGATGCTTTTTCTCTTTAAACCCAAGAATGCATCATAAACTTGTATTATTTTCACATCTTGCCATAGGGTTGGCTATATTTTGACTAGTTCTGCTCAAAACTAGAACTGTTTTGACAAAGAAACATAAGACATACATACGTTCTTTAGCCTATTTCCAAAAGTAAAAAAAAACAACCTCCTCCAGCATCTGATACAGGGATTAAAGATGCTACACTTTTAAGGAAACGTCACAACCTCCATTTGTCAAGCTGAAAGAGAATACGTTTGAGGAAATCCAGTGATGAGTTTATTTTGACATAAACAACAAAAAGCTCTTTAGCCCACCAATGGAAAAGAAAGATGATCATATAAGAACATTATTTTGTCTAGAATGTATTTGAACATTTATAGATAGTTTTCAAATAAAGTTTGATGTGTTCTAATGAACCAGATCTTCGTGTCTCCCTTCAGGTGATGGGCCTGTTGAACTCAAGTGGAGTCCCACATCAGTCTCAGAGTGACTTTGCCCTCTCCCCACTCACCGGAGGCATCGAGCCTAATGGAGCAATGGCTGCTAGCTGTCATGGTTCTCAGCGACTGGAAGCTCTTCCAAGCCTGACCAGCATGCCTGCCCTTCCCAGCACTCAGTCTTACTGCCCACCTTCCTACACATCCCCAGCCTACGCTGTAGACCATCACCCCACCTACCAGTATGGACAGTACAGTCAAAGCAAGGTAGTAGCTCTATTTTAAGTGTTTTAAACTGAGCCTTTAGCCAGATTCATACTGACTACCTTACTGATTGTTTAAAGCGAGGTTATATAATTTCTAACCTTTGGTTTAGTGGTTTGATTGAGTTTAGATTTTTTTAAACCCACAGCCCCTGTTAATTGCAAAGACCCCCTCTGATGAGCGAGCTTCTCAAATCACCGTGCGCTGAACTGAAATTACATCTGTGTTAGGGTGCGCTAGTTGGCCAGGTTACTTCAGTTTATATTACCATCATTGGACCATCCATGTGGCTCGCTCCTTATACCAACACACACATTTTCACTGACTGGCCTTTCATGACCCCATATGATGAGCTTGCCCATCAACTCCACAGTGTAGCTCACCTAGCCATGTAATGACCCCATGTAACAAGGATAGCTGCCCATATAAAAGGAGCCACTTCCCAAAGCATGTTTGACAGGAGGGAGGGGTTGTAAGGGTTTGGAAACAGGCTTGCTGTTGAGGGCTGATCTGAGGTACACTACAACATGTTGAGCGGCCTGTCAGCAGCAACATCTTGATGTTATTAATTTAGCCAGACCAGGGAGAGACCCACATGTAGCTTTTGGGGGTTTGGCAAAATGTGTCTATGTGAGCACAGGTATGTGTGTATAAAAGCGCGGTAAGGGGGTGCTTTAAAAAAAGAGGGGGAAGATTATGGCCCTTGGCAGGCCAAGATTAGAACCATGTGTCCCACTGGAGGTCAGATTTGGAGTTGTTATTGATCAGTAAAACACAGATCACTGTTGAGGAAGTTCTATCAACCTCAATACATTTAGCAAAATTGTGGCGCTATATTCAAAGCTTTTTACCTTACATATATTAAACTCATAACTACTTTTATTTTACGGTTTCTAGCCTACCGTTTCCCTTTATTTTCACATGAAAAAGTGTATTTTGTATTAGAAAATACTGTACATCCTTGCACTGGTAACCGAAAGTAATTTACAATATCTGTCCACCGATGTGCTTTGAGTTATATAAAAAAATATAAGACAGTTGAAGAAACAGACAAAGAATAGAATATGTAAAGCAAAAGTAATTAACTATATGAGGCAAAAATGGCAGAATGAAAAAATAAACAATCATAAATTTGTAAAAATGAAGAAAGTGGTCATTCATGACTGTAAAAACCTTTTATTTTATTTATATAATTTTTGAGAAACATCTTCAGTTTTAATGTAAAATCATGTCATAATTCAATTTAAGTTTTATCTATCACAGAAAAATAAATGTCACAGAGGTTTTGCAAAAGACATCTTACAGCTCCTTTGATCCATGACATGAGTTTAAAGTGGGACCTGAAGGTCACCTGAGGAGCCTGACCATGTCAAAAATGGAAAATAAGTTTAATATTAGACACTTTAACAACTTTTTTCAAATTCACCATATTCAATGTCTTATTTTTTTTTTGTAATCCGATAAGCTTTCTAGTCAGTTTAATCTAAAATACATTTAGATTCTGTATGTTCGCCAGTTTGCTTTTGTAACAAAATATTTAACTAGAATGATTTGATAAAATGATTATTGTTGGGAGTAAGATGAAATAATTTAGTTTTAATCATTCAACTAAGACATGACTGTTCAGACAAAAAAACAAAAAACAAAACAGCAGCACTGGGGCATGAATAAGGTAAACTAATTTCATAGAAGCTAGGGAGTGGTGGCGCAGAGGTTGGATGCTGGGCCTGTCATCGGAAGATCACTAGTTCAACTCCCGGTACAAACAACATCAAAATGTGTGTGGCATAGGTGAAGCACCCACACCTGCCTCCACCTTCATTTGCCCCACTCTGAGCCCTTGAGCAAGACCCTTAACCCCCACCATCTGCTCTCCCGGGTGCCCTAGATAGCAGCTCTCTTCTCCACACAGAGGGCTGTGGTAGCTCGGTGGTCTGTGGTTGCGTCAGGAAGGGCATCCGGCGTAAAAATAATTGCCAAGTCTTCGTGCGACTTAGTCACTGTGGCAACCCCTAAAAGAAGGGAGAAGCAAAAGAAGAAAAAAGAAAGAAAGAAAATTACCGGTACATAGATGTAAAAAAAAAATAAAAAATGTGGGCCGTGAACGGAGCCATGTGGTACATGTAAAATTTAAAATGTATTTTAACATTTTATTTTCTTGATCGATGTCTTGCTAAACATAAGACTTTCTGTTAAACATTTTGTTTCATACCATTTGTTGACATTAAAACATACAAATGAGAAATGACTAAATTATTTTAAAATATCTACAATTTTCTGTCTTTCCTCCTCAGGTGCCTTTCATTATATGAAGCCTGCACACAGGACTCTAGTTTGGTCATTCATCTCTGAAAATCACAACTACCCACTACCTTCGCCAACTTCCCCAACCCCGAGGACAGCAAGGCAGGCAGTGGGGGAGGTGAAAGGGTATCGTGTTTTATTTGAGCAAGAAGGGGAGCCAGTTTGGATAAAGGTGTAGTGATGGCAATGATGAAGTCCAAGAGGAATAATTAAGGACCATATATGTGCAGTCGCCTCCGATACCTGACACTTGCTTTGCTTGTGAGTCATGCCATGCTCAACGGACCTAGTGCTGTTACTTAACCAGTGGATTAGGAAGAATGAAATTGGTGGGAGAACACATTTGTGGCATTCTGTGGGTAGAAATGTATGATGAACTGGATTTTATCAACTCAAGGTGCTTTTATGACCTATCTTGATGAGAGAAAGACATTTTCTTGTGGTGAATGGTGAGATGACAACAGCATGAGCACTCAGCAGCAATGCGCTTTCAAGAATATATTTATCTCAATGTCTTAGCAGAGGAATATTACCTGCATACCTGCATAGTATGTGACGGTAGAGATGAAGGCGTAGCTGTATCAGGAAAACCAGCAAGAAATCATTAACTGAAGTCGCGTGGAGTCAGTGCAACCCAAAGAAAGTGCAATACATTCATACCTCATGTGCTGCAAATGAACACGGATCAAATGTTTCTCATCATGTCCTCAAAAGCCTGCTCCATCTTTTTATTATTCATTTTGGGTTGTATGCTTCGATCAATCATGGGAAGTTACAAAGCAACGAACCACAGCGAACAAAAACATTAAGCCAAAATAAAATAAAGAAATCTCTGCCAGCGGACATATTTTTCAGTTTCAGCGTTCATTTTTGCTGTTGTTGTTTTGCATGTTGAGTTTTAGTCATCCGCAAAATTTTAGTTCTTATTTATTTAGTGTTGTTCAAGTGTATTGTTGTACTGTATTATACTTTTTCTATAAGTGCTTCTCTGTGTTTTAATGTCTTACAAAATGCTCATTATTCCCACTTTTCTTTTGTACATTTTTTTTTTATTTGCAACTGTGTGAAAATATTCAGGAGGTTTGTGTAAAAAATAGCACTATTACTATTTATAATAAAGAATTTGAAAAAGCGTACATTTTAAATTTTGAGTTTGTGTCATTTGTCATCTCTAAAGTTTGTAGTTGTGATTAGATTTGTTTGAACCTTTTCATACATGGCAATTAAGTGCACATTTAACTCTAAACTAAAAAAAATAATGCACAGTATTAAAAAAAGACGGTCTCTTACATCTTTGACATTTTGCTATAGAGCTGATGTTTATAAAAATTCATCTTTTTAGAATGCATTATATGTCCTGAAAATAAATAGATGCATTTCAGAAAACATTAGAAAATACCTCTGATACATATAAACTAAAAAGTTTAGTATAAAATAATACAGTTTAAACTGCTTGCATTAATACAATGAACCAATAATTGTTGTGGACGTCATACATCTGTTGTTAGATTACTTTTGTTCCCAGGAGATAGAGTAATTGGATTAAGAGACATTAATAATAATAAAAAAAAAAAAAACCCATTGTGAATAATTATTATGAGCCATGACAATAAAATATGGCTAATTTAAATTTAAGTATTTTAGTAGCATTTTGTAAACTTTTACAAATCACGATTCAGCTTACAGTTTAAGTGTTTTTCTGGCTTTACACACATTTTGTATTTACTTATTTGGATTGGGTAGGATTAAAAAAAATAGAGAACTATCTCGTAGTACTAAGCTTTCTTGTAAAAACTACAGAAAATTAAAGGTACTATTTTTTTTAAATCAGAAAGGTCTGTTTTTACTGAACATTGCAGTTTTACTTATAAATGAAAGTTTCTACAGAATGCTTTGTTGATTATTCACAAAGTCAGTTTTGTGGATTTCCTAAAATATACCTTTTCCCCCACAAGATGTTGGCTGTACTTTATGGTTTAGGGGGATATACGTTTTATTTGTTCACTATTATAGCCTAAAAAGGTACTCTGATAAAGATTTTTTAATTTAGATCGACATTGTCTAATTTGCTTAAAAAAATAAAAGAATAATGAAAAATTTCCTCAAAACCTGTTTGACAAGAATTATTTCATTGTGTATAATAAACTGGGCTTTGAGTTTTACTACTCATATTGTTCACTTCAAGTCACAGTATTTCACTTTAAAGTACTTGATTTAGTTCTTGAATTGTCAATTTTTGTTTTATTGAAGAAAAAAAAAAAAGGTTATTTAAAGGTGTTTACATTCCGATTAGTAAAATAGGTCTGAGTCATAAAAAAGGAGGGGTCAAAGGTCAAATCACTACAGTTTTTGAATGCGAACGCAGTCCACAGAAGTACTTTTATTAGATTTTTGAACTAATTTTCTGACAGTGCTTTATTATTTGTTGTTATCGTCTCTATTTTCAGTTTGTACCTCACACACACTCCCGGAGCACTAAATCATAAATATATCCTCTTTCATAAACACTCCTTTTGGACAAATTCCTGCTCCCCGGTGGCTCCTTCACACCCTTTAATGACAAAAGCAGAGCTGCTGTAAATTATCGAGGCTCAGGAGCCCTCAGACACACCGGGACATCAGTCACACGCAGCTCAGACGGCTTTGGGCTCTGACTGTCAAACAGAGACGGAAAACGATGTCCACCCAGTGGGAAGAGTTCTCAGAAGGTTAAACAAATCACAAGTGCATTTTTATCATTCTCTCCTGTGTTTTTTCACTCTCTCTCCTCAGGATCAGGTGTGCAGCTGTTCATGCCATTCAATGTGCAGCTCTAAAACAAGCCCTTTTATTTAGTTTTTTATTTGTGCTTGAGCTCGCTTAGTTGCATTTTTCATTTTTAGAGTATGTTCAGCTGTATATATGTGTTTTACTTTTTACTACAAGTGCTCAGCTTGTACACACTGAGTGAAAAAGCCAAAGGGGTTGCTTTGAAACAAAGTGTCAGTCAAGCAGCAACACACTGGAGACAACTTAACCTTTGACCCCAGCACTCTTTGAAATGAGTAGACTACTTGACCGGAGCTGACAACAGTCCAAGCGTCTCTGCAGCTTTCAACCCGTAAATAAAAAGTGAAGGGAAGAATGCGAAAAATAAAAACAAAGGATGGATAAAACTAAAGGTTTAGGCTGTAAAAATAAACCATGAGATGACGTGCTGCAGGTTTTGCAGGTCTTTGTAAAGAATTTCCTGATTAAACTCTCAAACAGTTCCATAATGTTCGCCAAAAAGAAGCCCTCCCTGTGCTTTCGTCTTATTTTGTCTGCTGCAGTTTGGAAACGAGGCGTTATCTCTGAAATACCATGTTATCAAGTCTCTAGAAGAGCGAGTGGGCAGCAAACAGCGTGCCTTTCCTAAAGTGGAGAGTGGCTCCCCCTCATGCTGTTTGTTGTCCCTTTTGATTCGTCTTTGCGGCTTTAACTTTTCTGTTTGCTATATTTTCCATTTTGCTAATATGACCACTGATTTTGAAATGAAAAGCCTGAACCGGAGCCGTCTCCTTTCTCTCCTCGCCCGCTGTCGTCAGCTTCTCGAGGACACGAGTATCCACGAGCGCCAAACTAACAGGACCGTCTCCAACACAGACCCGGCGTTCTCCACCTCCAGGGAGTCCTACGACAACGCTTACTTCTACATCCTCTTTGTGATGCTCTTCTACTCGTTCCTCGCCATGGCACTTTTCAAGTGCTTCACGGGCAGCGATGAAGAGAACAAGGAGCCTCACGAGGAGTTCACTGGGAACCGAACGGCACAAACGTTCAACGCAGGCCACATGGCGGAGAAGTTTTACTTTGAAGAGGAGAGCAGTGAGCCTTTCTGAAAGAGAAGGTGGAGGAGGGGGGTATGGATGCATATGGGTAATGTTTTGACAGTCACCAAGCCAGAAAAACGTCAGGCAAGACCTGCTAGTGATTTTGCACAACCTGCAGTAACTTCATTCCCCCACGCTGCCGTTTTCTCCCTCCTCTCTAACTGACAATCAAGAACCTCAAGTCGGCCAATCAGCTGGCAGGAGGAAGACGGCTGCCTCTGATGATCTGAGAAAAGGATGGAAACATGCAAAAAGACTGGGTCAATGGCAGGCCGGATTCTCCTCCTGTGATGCCTAATCAGGATCAATAACAGTGGAGCCTTCAACACACACACACACCACGGGGAGTAACTGCACACTCTGATGATGTAGATATCATGGACACCGTGTGTGTTTGGGTTTCCTGGAGAGCTAAACATTAAATGAATTTTAATCCATCGTTTTTGTATATTCAATCGGTTAGTAAAGCAATGCATTATTAGAAAAAACTAACAAATTAGTTTAAATAAATGCAGTATTTAGACTCTAAAGATGAAACTGACGTTACTTTACACTCACAACCTTAATAAAATAAAGTGACATCCCATACTTAAATTAGTTCTAATTAGAGCCAAGAGCTCGACGCAGTGGTCAGGATTGAGCGACATTCCTTCACCATTTCAATGTAACTGATCTTTGGGGAGTCGATGGGCAGCTACAGGGCCGCACCAACCTCTAGGTGACCTCATATGAGCTAGGTTTACAAAGCCGTGGCGAAACGTGAACCCAGGACTCAATTGAACAGTGGGATGTTGTGTGGAGAGCACTCTGGAAAGAAACACACGCTTCTTATTTGTGCCATACGTCACAAATTTTACCTTCGCAGAGAAAGATAGGATGCTTCAGATTAGCAGTCTGTTGGCTGGACAGGTAGTGGTTGGCCTCTCACAGATGCAAAACACATCATAAAAGTCCTTCTCGCAATTAAATCTAAGGGGTCACGAGTTGGCATGAATGGACAATGCTGGTCTAATTTGAACTATCCGCTCCTGCCGGTCCCTGAGGCCGTGTGGGCCTGTTTCTGCTTCATCCCTCTTAATTGAATTTTTGCCTCATCCTCCTCCTTTGAGGCACTGGGGTCACCATGTGTAAAGCAAACCTTGGTAAATAGCTCTTCCTTCATGTTTGGAGCAAATGTGCTCCAGTTAAAGTGAGGAGTTATTTCATCTTTAAAGCAGGCGTCATGTATTTATCTTTTAGGATTCATTTATTTCACTGTTTTACCAGAGATCAACTGTCAAAAATATACCTTTTTTGTTTTTGTTTTTACCAGTCATCATAAAGACAACTTAATTTAATCTCTGCTGGGTTTTGTTACATTTTGTGGGCTCATTTAACTGCTTGCATGTTAATCAAAATGTAAGTTGATGAATTTGGGTGTCTGTTAAAATAATCCAATAAAATGGGGTTGCACACAGTGTGCAGATATTTAAATACATACTGGTTCCTGAGTCCAATTATTGCA